AAATTCTGAAAAGCTTGATTTGCCACAAAGTTTACCAGAGTTAAAGGTGAGTAATGTTAATACAAACACGAGTATTGTGAGGTATGGATCATGCCGCGTAGTTGTGTTCTCCATCATTGATTGACCCACAGTCCAGCGAGACTGTGATTGATCCACTAACTATTGATTCACTATTGACTCGGGCTGTGGTTATAATGCGTCAACAGACAACACTGCTTTACCAACACTCCCCAAGAAATTCATTTGTTTTCTGATTGTCACTCAGTAATGCTGTGATCAGTCACGAGTCCTGCACTACTAAAGTAATGACCATTGTACAAACAGCGTACCTTTATTGTCTTCGTGTTGATTTGCATAATGAGAGCTGGAGTGTTGATTACAGATTGCATTGCACATGTGTTTATACATACATACATACATGCATGCTTCTTGTTCACGCACAGGAAATTCCAAAATAAAACTTACTGTTACAGAATATGTCAGCAACCAACACAATAATTTGATAATTTAATGTCGTTTTGTTGTTTATAAAAATTGGATTTAAATAAGCATAGGCCAAGACTAACGAATTTCATTGTTCCTGTAAACCATATGTTTTTTTTAGTTTCCTGAGTCACAGTCCTTCTATCACAATTTAGAAGAGTTTGAATTTAAAAATGAAACACTCTTGAAATGCAAATACTTGCAGACTAAAAACCAAAGCAATTGTCTGTTGTAAAAGGTTAAATGAAACGCATTTGAAATCTTTCAGCCAGGAAAACATTCACAAATTTCATGATCTTGTTTATTCCAAAAACATTCTCCCTCAAAAAATCAACTACATAATTATTTGGCGTATCAAGGTAATTTATTATTCATACCATCAACGAACAAACAAAACTTTCAAACGATTATTAAAGTTACGACGTGACATAACTTACTTGGCGATTTTATACACCCGTTATACAATAATTGCTCTTGACAATATTGATTTTTTTCCGAAATAAACATTGAATGCCTATTTTATTCACAGGCAATTGATGACTCTTTGCGATGTGAAATATGTTTTGAGTATTTCACGACTGCTCTGATTCTGCCAACATGCTCACACAATTGTAAGTAAATTTCTCATTATTTACAAAGATGGATCATAAATTCAAAAAAGCAAGAAATGTTTTGTTTATGATATTTTTTCTCTTCTTTCTGTTAAAATACTGTAAATAGGAAAGAAAATACAAAAAAAAGCATGTCACATCACTACTACAATATCTAAAGACAAGAACAAGTTTTTAGTCTAATGTCACTACAGTTTCGCAATCGCTTGGAATTATTTTTTGCTGTTTTTGCAGATAGGATGATTCAGTGAAACAAATATGCCTTTTTTTTCACATTTTACATTCAACTCATCAAATATCTGTGAAAAAAGTCTTTTCAGCTAAAATTAATTACAGGTACAATAAAGTATTTTATAGTAATCATTGTCAACACCTCTGACACAAGATACAGGAAACCTACCTATTTCACGTTACTATGATCAAAAACTTTTTTTAGTTAGAATTATGAATTTAATACCATTGACTGTATCCCATTATTATAATGACCATGTGCACATGTTTCAAGATTTCTTGAAATTCTAGTCAAATTTGAGGGTAGAGAAGTAAAAATCCCATGTGAATGAAATCACTGTAACATAAAGCAACTATTCTTTGCTATTTGGTCATCAGTATTTACTTATGTAATTAAGGGGTTTACCATTAGACTAAATGTAATTAAGGGGCCTACCAATAGACTAAATGTAATTAAGGGGCTTACCATTAGACTAAATGTAAGGGGCTTACCATTAGACTAATGTAATTAAGGGGCTACCATAGACTAAATGTAATTAAGGGGCTTACCATTAGACTAAATGTAATTAAGGGGCTTACCATTAGACTAAATGTAATTAAGGGGCTACCATTAGACTAAATGTAATTAAGGGGCTTACCATTAGACTAAATGTAATTAAGGGGCCTACCAATAGACTAAATGTAATTAAGGGGCTTACCATTAGACTAAATGTAATTAAGGGGCTTACCATTAGACTAGATGTAATTAAGGGGCCTACCAATAGACTAAATGTAATTAAGAGGCTTACCATTAGACTAAATGTAATTAAGGGGCCTACCATTAGACTAAATGTAATTAAGGGGCTTACCATTAGACTAGATGTAATTAAGGGGCCTACCATTAGACTAAATGTAATTAAGGGGCTTACCATTAGACTAGATGTAATTAAGGGGCCTACCATTAGACTAGATGTAATTAAGGGGCCTACCAATAGACTAAATGTAATTAAGGGGCTTACCATTAAACTAAATGTAATTAAGGGGCCTACCATTAGACTAGATGTAATTAAGGGGCCTACCAATAGACTAAATGTAATTAAGGGGCTTACCATTAGACTAGATGTAATTAAGGGGCTTACCATTAGACTAGATGTAATTAAGGGGCCTACCAATAGAGTAGATGTAATTAAGGGGTGTACCAATAGACTAAATGTAATTAAGGGGTGTACCAATAGACTAAATGTAATTAAGGGGCCTACCATTAGACTAGATGTATTTAAGGGGCTTACCAATAGACTAGATGTAATTAAGGGGCCTACCATTAGACTAAATGTAATTAAGGTGCCTACCATTAGACTAGATGTAATTAAGGGGCCTACCAATAGACTAAATGTAATTAAGGGGCTTACCAATAGACTAAATGTAATTAAGGGGCCTACCAATAGACTAAATGCAATTAAGGGGCTTACAAATAGAGTAGATGTAATTAAGGGGTGTACCAATAGACTAAATGTAATTAAGGGGTGTACCAATAGACTAAATGTAATTAAGGGGCCTACCAATAGACTAGATATAATTTAGGGGCCTACCAATAGAGTGGATGTAATTAAGGGGCTTACAAATAGAGTAGATGTAATTATGGGGCTTACCAATAGACTAGATGTAATTAAGGGGTGTACCAATAGACTAAATGTAATTAAGGGGCCTACCAATTGACTAAATATAATTAAGGGGCTTACCAATAGACTAAATGTAATTTAAGGTGTGTACCATTATACTAAATGTAATTAAGGGCCTACCATTAGACTAGAATGTAATTAAAGGGCTTACCAATAGACTAAATGTAATTAAGGGGCCTACCATTAGACTAGATGTAATTAAGGGGCTTACCATAACTAAATGTAATTAAGGGCCTACCAAT